GAAATGGTCAAAAACGATCAGACAATTTAATCGAAGACTGCTACTTCCGCATGCTTCTGACGCGAGTCGTTTGTATTGAGATGGCATTTTCATTTAATGAACGATTCTTTCATGAAACTTTAACTACCAACAAAGTTAATGTATAAATTTCAAGTCGATTTACTAAACAATTAATAAGTGACAGATAGTTTTGCTTCACCCGAATATTGATGGACAAATGACTAGAATTTTAAGAAAGGTTGATGAACTTCGATGAAATTAATGCAGTAGATAACTCGAGCACATCACTAAATAATGAAAAACGAGTTGAACCATAAAGTTCTTCTTTTTCAGCATTATGAAGTTAAATGGGTCAATAGGTGCAATGCATTACTATTCATCATAATTCTCGTTCTATTTAAACAATCGAAATAAACTCGTGTCTCAGACCTGCATTCTTACAAGGAAAGGTTCCCAAGTGATAAATTGCTTTTAAGCTGAAACCATATTCAATCAATAGAATCTAGTGACTAAGTAAATACCAGAGACTGATTGTAGTTGCTGGGCTTTTGTTCTTAACACACCGAATTTTTAGTTGATTTCTGTCGTAGGACTCTAGTTTTCAAGCGAAATTATATTCCATAAGTCTTTTCATAGTATGAATTTTTTTAAATACAGACTTTTTTGCCATGATTATTGTAAAAACCATAGATATTTTGAAAAATTCATATCATGAAACTACTTGATGAAAAAATTTTGAATTTTTTCTTACAAGTTAGTTTTATTGGTACTTTCATGTGGGCAAAGTTTTCGGTCAAAATTCAGAAGTTTAATTTCGCTTCAAAACTGAAGCCTTATAGAAAAGCCCATTAAAAACTCGGTATTTTAAGAACAAAGACTCAGTAGCTTGTAATACTCTTGAGTATTTACCTACTCACTGGATTCTTTTGATAGACTATAGTCGTAGCTTGAAAGCAATTTATCACTTGAAGATCTTTCTTTGTTAGTGGAGTATGTGCACAGAGATTCCCAAATCTCCAATGTGTATAGTAGCCGAGATGCAAGAAGAGAGCAGACTGTTGTCCACTATTCTGTAAAAAATATTCATACTTTTTTGAAAGTAATTATATTGTAGTCCAAGATCAGTAATTTGTTCCGACACCGTATAGTTAGCACTAAGTAAAAGACTTCGCACATGAAAACATGATTCAGCTGATTGAATTGTTGGATCAGCTACTATAGTCACTGGAAACATATGACCGTGTGCACGTAACTTTTCTTTATATGAATGAATAATAATATGTATTTGTGACATAATACCACGTATTTGATTAATACCAAGACGAGTTAAATATGATGTTTTTTCATCACCTGTGTTGACATTAAGACGTAGAATATCAAAAACAAAACAAGAAAAGAAAATATTTTCTTCTATATTATTTAATATCTACTTATCATGTCGAATCAAAAATAGCAATATACGTGATTCTGGATGAACAGAATCAGGTGAAACATATTGTCGACTTATTATTGGATTTTTTCGAAATTTTTGTATACGATTATCGACTTTAAATGGCATACCATATGCACTAAATTGATATAATGGTATTGTTAATGTTGAACTTTGTGCTTCTGGTGTAGGTGGAATAGGTATAGGTGACATTAAACGATTAAATGATCCAAAATCTGTATTTGCTTGGATAAAAGGTAGACGATAAAGATAACTACGACAAGTATGCAACATCATCGGTAATATATGTGTAGAATATTCATGTTTCAATTCCATATAAACAATACTTTCATAGTTTTTCATTTTATTTTGAAAATACTCTTTACCAAATATATTATCTATGAGACCTGATTGAATATAATTTCTCATATTTGCACGACCATGATATGACTTAAAATGAGAAAAACAAAATTTTATTTCATTAAAAAAAAGCATATCTTTTTTTTTTAAATAGTTTCTTGAAAAATTCATATATGAGGATTTTTTTAATTCTAAACACTCACTAATACAGTATTTTTTCTAATTAGTTACTTTTGGCGAGTTTTCTTTTATCGATGTATAAAAATCATTAAAACATTTCAAAACAGTTGGAGTCTTTTTTATAATGCTGATGCTGATTTTGAGATTTAATCTTCATCAGCAGAGTAGGGTCTGGTAAGGATTAGAAAAATTTTCTCAGCCCGGATACAAATTGTTGTGAGAGAGTGAGATAAGAACTTCGTACGATAAGGTAAGAATATCCAGTCAGACAACGGCTCAATTTAGTGTGTTCTTTCTATTGACTTTATCTGATTGAGCCAGAGTTCTCGATTAGGAAGAAGGCTTCCTCCTTCAAAATGTTCGACTTTCTGCAACAATATTTTAGTACCTTTTGCCAATTTCTTATTACAGCTTCGTGGTAACGTTGGATAGGAGCCGGACTTTGAAACATCATTCACCTTTCTCTGGCAGAAAATGAAATAAAAATAAACAGACAAGTCATTGCAGAGCGAATAGGATTCTGGCGAATCTCGAAAGAAGGATAGCCTGGTGGCAGGTCATTTGTTGTGTGAAGGGTAGAGACCTGCGGAGTCAACTTTTTTCATTCCGAAACCCGATTCCGACTCCGAAAAACTCCGAAATTTTTTAACAATGTCATTTAAAAATAAAACGTTCTCAGCAGCCAAAGGACTCTTTAATGACTTAACATGCGCACGTTTTACACTAAAAATCTAAAGTTTCTCTTTAAAAAAAAAACAGTTTATGGATGTTATCATCTTCAAAGTCGCTTTTTCCCCTCAAAAAAACCTTTTT